GTGGAGAAATGCAACTTACTGTAAGGGGTCTGGAGCTCTAAAACCTGCATGGTAAAAAGTAGGATTCTTGTAATATGTAGCAGATTCTCCATTGAGGCTTCCCTGACCCTGTAGAATTCCTGTGCATCCTGTGATTACAGGGCATGTGTTCTCGTGCCTGCAGCTGTACATTTCCTGTGGCCTCAGGAGGGTCTTTTGAGCTTGGAGAGGTGAACTTCTTGGTACTGTATAATTCTCATTTTAAACACAGAGTGACGGGGAAAAAGCTTATCATTTATTTTATAGGTTATAGCTTTCTCTTCTCGGTGCTATCTCTGGCATCCAAATATTGTACATTCTGAACTGATTAAAGGCCACAGATAGTGTCTTGACTGGCTCTGCCAAATTTACCTAGGACCTTGAATTTAGTGACACTTGAAACTTACTTCTTGAGTAAAATGAAGTGTGGACTCTGCAGGACTTTGGTGGCTCTCTAATTGATTATGGAAGATTCAGATGATAAGAATGTTCTGTCTCATCAGTACCTGTGTTTGCCTTTGCTTTTTCTTTGGTTATTTAGCAAGGGTAGGACACGTCTATTTGTATTTATCTGTCTTTAGGAAGCAGTGGAGAATCGGGTAACAGAACAGACTTTGGAGTCAGGTCATGCGGATTTTCTGGCTCACCGTTCACTTAACAGCTCTATGCCTTGACTCCCTTATCTATAAAATAGGGTTGCAGGGAGTGTAAAACCACATGAAAACTGATCACAACAGTACTTGGCACGTAGGAAATACTCAGTAAATGTTGGCTGATCCACCACACACAAAAAAAGAATGACATCCTGTTGTTTGCAACGAGGATGGAACTGGAGGACATTTAGTGAAAGGTGCCAGATATAGAAAGACAAACTTCACATGCTCTCACTGTTCGTGGGAGCTAAAAATTAAAACAATTAAACTGACAGAGATAGAGAAAAGAGTAATGATTTCCAGAGGCTGGGAAGGATAGTGGGCAGTGGGGGAGTGGGGATGGTTAATGGGTACAAAAATATCGTTAGAAGAAATATGATCTAGTATTTGGCAGCACAACAGGGTGACCATAGTCAACAGCAATTTATCAAACATTTTAAAATACCTTAGAGTGTATAATTGGAATGTTTATAACACGAAGAAATGATATTGCATAACCTCAAAGGTTTGAGGTGCTGATCACACACTGTATGCCTATATCAAAATATCTCATGTACCCCATAAAAATATATACCCACTATGTGACCATACAAATTAAAAAAATAATTAAAAAATAAGACATTGGCTGAGCCAGGCATGTGGCTTACACCTGTAATCTTAGCACTTTGGGAAGCTAAGGCAGGCAGATTGCTTTGAGCTTAGGAGTTCAAGACCAGCCTGAACAACATGGTGAAACCCTGTCTCTCAAAAAATACAAAAATTAGGTGGGCATTGGTGGCTCACGCCTGTGGCTCCAGCTACTTGGGAGGCTGAAGCTGGAGAATTGCCTGAGCCTGGGAAGTGGAGATTGCAGTGAGCTGAGATCATGCCATCTACTGCTTCCTAAAGACAGATGGCAAATACAAATAGAATGGAAAATACAAATAGGCACTCCAGCCTGGGCAACAGAGTGAGACCCTGTCTCAATGGAAACAACACAAAATGTTGGTTGATACTAAGTGCTTGATAGTTCTTTTCTTCCTCTAATTAGCTGTCCAGGTCTCAATTATAACACAATGACACCCTACCCAACCAACAAAAGCAATTTCTCATAAGTCACATTGTCCAACGCTTGTCCTTAAATAGCTTCATAATTTCAAACCCCACCTCTCTTTATTTTAGGCCCTATTTCCGAATGTGAAGAGCCTGTATCAGCTTTTATAAGACTTTTATCATGGTAGTCAGAAAAACTTTCTTGCTGATATTTACAGTTTATACTCAACTCTTCTCTTTTTTTACTCCTCCTTTTAGTTAAAAAATTATACTTGCAACATATACATATACATATACACATATATTGCTTTCAAACATTTTGCAACTATGAAATAAAGCCACCTGAAACAGTCCAGGACCTTTTACACCCTTGTGTCACCACATCACTCAAGTCTGCCATTTGTGTTTGCAGCCCCTGGGGTAAAACTTCTCTATGACCAGGCTCAAAGAATGCCCAGCACTTTTGATGGATGGACATGGCCATCAGGGTCCTTCTCCTCTAATTGAATTTCTGTTCTTTCCTGGTCCACCTGCTGATCTGTCTAATTTAGATATTGTCTCACACCCAGTAGTCACTCAGGGAAAGTTTATTGACATCTGAATTTAGATAACTAGTTCCAATAGCATGATTCTGTTTGCCATTTTTCTTTCTCCCAGGACTCACGCTTGTTGCTCTTCATTTGTGTGACCCTGATTTTTGCTGGGAAACCAAGCCATTGAACTCCTCACTAAACCAACACAAACAGATGAAGTTGGAAGGCTCGAAGCTCTTCCTCAGCTCCAGGCCTTTCTTCTTGTTTTCTTTCAGCATTTGTGGAATGTAAAGTTGATCGGATGAACCAAAATACATTTGTTTACCCGTCTTCCTATGCTCAAGTGAACACCTTGTTCATGCCTGTGAAACATTACAATCAAACTAGAGGGGAAACAAAGCTCCACAGCGCTGCACTCAGACGGTTAGCTTTAACCTGAGCACTTAAGGTAACGAGATGTCTGAATGGGGCCACAGTGCTTAAACTCATGCTGCTTCCTTTTGCACTGTATCGTTTGCAAGGACCAGAGAGCTCCTCAAACTTACCCGGAAGTATTGAGGAATTTAGCATTGCACGCACTAACAGATTCTTAGGAGGAAATTAGAAGGGGTGAGTAAATTGCTTACTGGTGAGTCATCAGTTTCAAAAACACACCTTATTTATGAAACTTATTGGACATACTATGACTTCCTTCTATTAAACACAGAATTAAAAGACCATTAAATGCATTCATTTGTTTGGATTCAGATTTTCTCCAAAATCAATACACTCATGGCATCATTGAAGTCTACTGGTTGCCTTACCTACTAGTGTCTGCGAAATTGTTTTTGGTCTAATGAGACACTGTAGGGTTTCCTTTGGTTCTCAGGGCCATATCTTGGCCCCTAGGAAGGTATTGGGCTTCAATGACGTAATGAGCCGAAGGTGGGTGGCAAAACTTCCATCTCAGCTTCAAGCCCTCACCAACTTAAACTCCACACTAGTTAGTCATTTTGTCTGATCTTTAGCTGCTTCCACCCAATTCTACGGCCACATTCTTGCCCAAGTGATTAGCAGATTATTAATTCCATTTTATAAACACATTTCTACTAAGATGCCAGTGAGTTTCTTTAAATACTTGCAATTTAATATAGACAATAGGAAAGGGATGATACTGAACTGAAAAGATGGCATCTCTTATTTTAAAACTTTAGACATTGAACCTGCTGGGTAAGAGTACATATTTCTGGAAGTCCTAGACCTTTTGGAATGGAAATTTGGTTTACAGTTACAATTGGTGGACTGTGAAACAGGCAAAACTCTGCAGAAAACAAGCAGAAGGAGAATGGAATTAACTTGACTGAAATATGAGAATCGTTTTTTTCCACCCAGGTTGATAGGGGACAAAGGAGCAATGGCTGAAGCTTGAGCTTATCTGACAGTTGAGATTTGTCGGGTAAGCTCCATTCTCTTGATAACTTTTTCAGTGGGCTAGACCCAGATCCCATCATGATGAGTATGATACGGATCAGTGGTCCAGCTGGTGTGGGAGACAAGAGGGTCATACCGGGTTTAGGTCCGCATGGCACTAAAGATCTTCAATATGCAATTAGAAGCTCAATTGCTGAAAGGGAATATTGTTCACTCTAAAAAATATGTTTCTATTAGAATTTACCTACTCTTTCACGAAAAAATAGATGCTTCCTCTTTTCTTATTGTGAGAACAATGTAGTTGACTAGCTTCCCCTTTTATTTAACTGTTAGGAAGTTCTGTCCCTAGAGATGTTTCAAATTTATGAAACCATAATCTCAGGGATTATTATTTGCATTACTTTCCTTAATTGACTCTTTAGTTTTATAGTTTTCCTTTTTATAATGATTTTTACATTTTTATTCTCATACTATATTGTTTTTTGCATTTGCATTGCAAGCCAGCTCAAATCATTTGTAAAATGTGGAGTGCTTAAAGGAAACAAAACAAAATTAATAAATTGATTGAATTCAGAGATATCCTTTGCTTTCTTTTTCGTGGGGTTTTTGAGAATTAACATATTATTATCCCCTTCATTATTCCATAACAGAATGACAAAGTGCTAATTTAGACATGGTTGTTAGTATCTCATTACCTGGACCAAAAGTAATTTATGATCCAATGTGGCTAAAAATATAGCACATAATAATCTTGACCTTTCGTAGTTTTTAAACTGGATGACTCTTTGAAAAGAAAACAAATCTTTACTGAAGAAGTTAATCAGGTTTCACTCTAGGTTTTCTAAGGACAAAGAACATACCAAAGGCATTCACTCCAGCATCCACCTGTTGCTATCTTTTGCCACAGCCCCTGAGGTACTACCCCACCAAGAAGTGTGACATTGTTTTACTGAGAAAGCAGCTAGCTGATTCTTCAGCCTTAAATTAAAACGTTGGAAAAGGAAAAAAAGACTATCTACCCCTAATTCTACCCCACAGGAATTACCTATCTCTCCTCATTGGAATTACACATGAAGGGCTACATTCCTTCAGCTTTGTAGGGTATGACCCAGTGTATTAAGAAGCTGGACAGGAAGACTTAATGGAGTAACATTTTGCACTAAACCAATCGAGGGCAAAAGTGTTCCATGTTCCCCTAGAGTTTTTCTCTCCCATTTCCCTTCTGTGATTTCGGACACTCATCTACATCTGCTGGGAGAATCATTAAGTCTTGAGCTCTGTGCTTCTTCCTCTTACCAGACCTGGTAGTGACTTTAAGGGGGGAGGGGGAGCCAGCAGAAAGTATTTTGTTTCCTTCTTGAAGGGGGTTGTCCCGGGCTTGTCTACCTGCACAGGCAGTTATGCGTGCCGGGAACTGCTGATGGATCAGTGAGCCTGTGTTCATGCCAGTGAGCTGCTTGGCTCAGATACTGATACTTTCTTTCCAAACATCGTAAGAAGTGATTGAGCCACGAGTATACTGAAGGGAGGGCTCCTGGAGTTGTGGTGTGAAGAGAGGACTCACCAGGTAAGCCCAATAACCATAGTTTGATTGCTAAGAATGTGTATTACTGTAACCAATACTACCTGTTAATCTGAGATTATTTTTTCTCTCCTTGAAAAAAACTTCTGATTTTAATATCTCATTTCCTGAAGATGGTTAAATAAGGGAAGAGAGTTGAAAAAGCAATGAGCAGAAACAACGGATTTCAACCCTCTTACTAACTATAATGAGGTGGTTGGCTGAGACTCAAGCTCCAGGTTTTCTGAATCAAAGCATACTCTTCCCTCTGTGATAATGCAGGACCCCCATTCTTCTGATGTGCCAGGGAGGTAGACTGACTAGGATAAAAAGGGCCCCACCAAAGATACTTGTTAAAATATCAGTCGGATGGTTTTCACCAATCCTTAATATGTTAACCATAGGAATCTCTTAAAATAAAACTATACTTGAGAGAATTAAGCCTATTTTTATGTTTGGGCGAATTCATTTAAGCTTTGCCTGAATCCGTATATACCCAGGGAGTACTCCTCAATTTAACTCCTTCCCAGGACTTGAAAAAAACCCTAGAATTGACTCTCTTAACCATTTCTCCTGCTGTTTCCCCAAATAAATATAAAATGACACACTATGTTTTCTTAGCCTGGGCCTTGAAAATTTATGATTTTCCTTTTTTCTTCTTTTTCATGAAAAATCCATTTACATAAACCTGATAGCCTATGTCATGTACCATGCCAGAGACACGTGGCGGAAAGATACTGAAGAAGGCATAGAAAGAAGGTCAAGGTGGGAGAGGCATGGAGAAGTGATGACTTTGGCTTTTTCATGGTGATATCCATTAAGCTCAGCTTGATAATAGCATTCAAGGGCTGGAGATTAAAAACAGAGAGAGAATAAAAATAAATAAATAAAAGTATATCCTTTAATATGTTGGAATATTAACACAAACCTTTTATTATGTTCTTTTTTCATTAAGAAAACATCACTCATTATCCAACAATAACCAAAATTGAAAACAATTTTCTAGTAATGGCCCCATCATACTTCATCCAACTGTTGACAAGTAGTAAAACATTGAGCAAATTATTTAGTTGTCTTGTCTTGGCTATTTCATTTGTAAAATGGTGCCAATAGCATTAAGATCGGAAAGAGTGTATGCCTGTGGATTCTGACAAGCTCAACTTGCAAACTCACCTTTGGTGCACAATCCCAAGTTGCTGTGATTTATTGTTGGATGCCTCATATATTTTGCTTCTCCAAAAGGATAGGAAATTTCTTAAAAAACAGGGACAGTGTCCCTATGACAGGGTCTGTCTGTTGCTGAACTGAGGGCAAGGAAAGCACTATACTTTCACAACAAAGTGCCTTCTGATGTCTTTCATTACACAACTAAAGGAATACAAACATGTTCCTAGAAAAAGTAAATGAACATATTCATTTAAATTAGGATATAAACAAGTGATTTTAGTGCTTTGGCTGAGAGTAAGTACAAACTGGAGCAAGCAAGATGTACTGGGTTTCTGAGGGTATTAGCAGGGGTAGGGGTGTGTGTCACAAGGGTGCATGACTCAGAAAGTGGGGGAGTGGCATCCCCAGAACAAGTGTCACTGAATTCGCCATTTTGCTTAAGGCCATCCTTATAAAACTGTGTATTGTGTAACTTACCCAATCTAAATGTTTATATTTGTGACTTTCAAAATATTTTGTCTGGTTCTCTTTTTAATGTTCTTTGGCAGGGAACACCCATAGCTATAGAGAAGGGGAAATGCTATTCCCAAATACATATGTCTTGGGATTTTCTTAGATTGTGTTTATCTTAACAGAGCAGTGCTCACAAGATTTCAAGGCCTTCAGAGTTCTTGACTGGATAGATACATGGTTTTATTTATTTATTTATTTATTTTTGAGACAGAGTCTCACTTTGTCACTCAGGCTGGAGTGCAGTGGTATAATCCCTGCTCACCTCAACCTCCACCTCCTAGGTTCTAGCAATTCTCCTGTCTCAGCCTCCTGAGTAGCTGGGATTACAGGTACCTGCCACCAAGCCCAGCTAATTTTTGTATTTTTAGTAGAAATGGAGTTTCACCATGTTGGCCAGGCTCGTCTAAAACTACTGACCTCAAATGATCCGCCCACCTTGGCCTCCCAAAGTGCTGGGATTATAGAGGCATGAGTCACGGTGCCCAGAGATACATGGTTTTAATAGATGTGAAAACAATTTAGAATCTTGGAGGAATAGTACTAAAGTTCTATAGCATCGTGATCTGAAACATACCCTCTTCCATTCACAGCTGGGTTCAAGCCTTGGTAAATTCGCACCATAGTACACAAAACCACTAAGAAGGGGAAGCCTTGTCATTACATCCCCTCTCTAGTAAGCCACAGATAATCTCATAGAGGCTCTTGGTCAGTGGCTGATGAAAACTGGACTCTTGCATGTTTAGAATGAAAATCCATAGGAATTAATAATAGAAGTGGAAAATGCCCTAGCATTTCATAGAATTATAATAATTTCCTATGCGTAGTCAGTTAAATAAATGAAATGCAAAGAGTTTAACAACAATGAGGTATGCAGTCCTAAAACTGCAAACTATAGTTAAATTTTACTGATGAGTTTTATCAAATCCTCATGGTGTCCTCTTGGTCTCAGTGCAAATGTCAGTTTTTAATCTCCAGAGGTTCACAAATCTGAAGACTAAAGTTTTCAAGAAAATTTCCTTATTCTTTGCTCCTTTCTCATAAGACAAAACTTTAAAACCTGGTAAGTTTCTTAATTGTTTTGGGATAAGCGATGATTATTATACATTTGTGATGTTAGGACAGCCTGTCATAATAGAACAGATTCACACCTGCAAAGCTTTGGGTAAAGAGAGTTTGTGTTAAGCAGATTATATTTTCCATGAAAACCTTTTACACTGTTTGTAATACATGCAGCCTGACTCTACTTGGAAATTTTCCCACACTTAATCTCTTAGAGAATCAAGCTAATTATTTCTGATAAGACAATGATATATTTCTTAGGCATATCACACTCTTTTATGTTGTTGACCGAGGTATCAATTAAGCAGGCAATTGGTAAAAGATGAAGATAGCAGTAGAATTTTAAAAATATATTTAGGTCAGAATTTTATAGGAAAAGGTGGACCTCATTAAACAAGCTTATAGCTAGATAGAGGGAACAGATTCTAGTGTTCTATACCACTGCAGAATGATTATCGTTAATAGTAATATGTAGTTTCAAATAGCTAGAAGGAGAATACTGAATGTTCCCAACACAAAGAAATGATAAACATTTAAGATGATGGATATGCTAATTACCCTTATCTGATCACTGTATATTATATATCAAAATATCACTAGGTCCCCTATAAAGGTGTGCAATTATTATTTGTCAATTAAAAATAAAATTTAAAATAAATAGATAAAATTGATAAAGAATTATCAAAGTGGTCTAGATAAAAAGTGGTAGTTGGGAAATACTGTTGGCAAAATGAACTTTTTATTTGGAGGAAATGAAAGGAAATCTGAAAACCTAAATAAGCTCCAGAAAGATTGAAGATTTACTTATTTCATCTCCAAACCGAAATTAACTTAAGAAAGGTTGAAGATGTAAGTGTATTAAAAATAATTGAAACAACTAAAGAAGTGTTAGAAGAAAATGTAGAAGAATGTTTTGTAATCTTTTTACAGAAAACACATCCTTCGGCCAGGCGCGGTGGCTCACACCTGTAATCCCAGAAATTTGGGAGGCTGAGACGGGCTGATCACTGAGGTCAGGAGTTTGAGGCCAACCCGGCTAACATGGTGACACCCCATCTCTATTAAAAATACAAAAATTAGCTGGGCATGATGGCGGGCGCCTGTAATCCCAGCTACTTGGGAGGCTGAGGCAGGAAAATCGCTTGAACTTGGGAGGTGGAGGTTGCAGTGAGCTGAGATCCAGCCATTTCACTCCAGCCTGGGTGACAGAATGAGACTTTCAAAAAAAAAAAAAAAAAAGAAATAAAAGAAAAACAAACAAAAACATACATTCTTCACATAACCCCAAGTTCAAAATTCATAATAGGGCTGGGTGTGGTGGCTCATACCTGAAATCTCAGCACTCTGAGAGGCTGAGGAAGAAGCATCACTTGAGCCTAGGAGCTCAAGACCAGTGTGAGGAACATATCGAGACCTTGTCTCTGCAAAAAATAAAGTAAAAAAATCATTAGCTGGGTGTGGTGGTGTGTGCCTATAGTCCCAGCCACTCTGGTGGCTGAGATGAGAGGATCATTTGAGCCCAGAATAGCGCTGCAGTGAGCTATGATCACAGCACTGCACTCCAGTCTGGGCAGCAGAGCAAGACCCTGTCTCTAAATAAAACTAAAAGTAAAAACTGAGTAAGTAAAATCCACTATGGAAAAGATTGACAGATGTGATTTTATGAACATTTTAATCTTTTGTACACAAGAAAATAATGCAAAAGGTTAAAAGATGAACTACAAACCATGAGCAAATATCTATAACAGGAATGACAAAGACAAAAAAGCTCCTAAAACACAATTTTTTTTTTTTTCTGAGATGGAGTCTTGCTCTGTCGCCAGGCTGGAGTGCAGTGGCGCAATCTCAGCTCACTGCAACCTCCATCTCCCAGGTTCAAGCAATTCTCCTGCCTCAGCCTCCCAAGAGCTGAGACTACAGGTGCATGCTACCACGCCCAGCTAGTTTTTGTAGTTTCAGTAGAGACGGGATTTCACCATGTTGGGCCCAGATGGTCTCCATCTCTTGACCTCATGATCCACCCACCTCGGCCTCTAAAACACAATTCTTAAGAAAAAGATGAACATTCCAACAGAAAAACTTAGGAAAATGACTTAAATAGTCAGGCTGGAAAAAAATACAAATGGTCAGTAAATCTCCGAAAAATGCTTAAATTACTGACACTTAAACTCAGGAAAATTAAAACAATAAGGTAAAAATTTTGCGTGTTTGGCAATATTAGAAAGATATTGTGGACAGAGTGATGAAACAGGTATTTCTGCACCTTA